CCCCAAAACCCCAAAACCCCGTTAAAAGTATGTTATAAAATATTGTTAACTTAATAATAAATATTAGGATTAATTAAGGTAGATCATACTCAGATGAACTCGCTGAGAACTTTTTTGCCTACACTATGTCTTGCTTTCTCGAAATTTTTCTTTCTTAATGCTACTTTGTCCTCATTGACATACACAGCTCTTTTCAAGTCGCTGATCATACCCATAACTCTCTCCTTCTGATTAACATCTGTTAGCACATTAAGCTTCTTCTCTAATCCTTTTTGCTGAGACTTCTTAAGTCTCTTAGAAAACATCTTTTCATCATCCATATTCACAGTCTTTTCTGATTGATTATTCTTATCATCTCTCTTTGAGTGAGTTCTCTTCTTTTCCTCTTTCTTGCCATATTGCGGGAGGCCTACACTCATTAGATTCTTGTAAAGTGCAAATGATCTTGCGAATTCTGTAAGATTCAGGTTGTTGATTTCAAATACATGCCTCATCTCATGAGAATGCCCAGCATAAGCTCTTGTAGAGGAATTCTTTGCTATTTAAGCCATCGAAATTAGATTCAATCCATCTTATTCCATAGTGCTTCTGACTAAGTATCTCAATCTATGAATGGCTTCTTACTATTCATCTTCATCTTCAATATTTTTAAGAGATTTGAAAATAAGTTTTGCCTCTGGTTTGAGTTCCTATACTTTCTTTTAGAATAGCTTTATTAAGTTAAATCTGTCTCTCTAATGAATTTCAAAACCGTATTTCGTCTTGAGATGTTTGATATATCCTTTTTCTTAAGGCATCATAAAGCATAGAGATTACCCTGTTGTTGCAATTCTTGCAGTTCTACCTACTCTATTTACATATTCCTTAATTTGACTTGATAAATCATATTGAAGGATCCATTCCACATGTTTAAAATCAAGACCTCTTGAAGCAACATCAGTTGATATTAGAATTGCTGAATCAGCTTTATCAAAGCCAAAGTAATTCTTTTTCCTCTCATTATGATCCATATCACCATGAAGTTTGTAAATATGTCCTCCACAAAGAGTATCTACCTTTTATTCTTCATTTTCATTCTTGTTTTAGTCATCCTCTCTTTTACCAAATTTATTCCAATTAAGATTATTGATCAAATGATAAAGGAAGTTTACATGCTCACAATTACTAACAAAGACTAAAACCTTTTCTTGTTAATGTGTATATAGGAATGCAAGTAAATATAATAGCCTGTATTGTGTGGGAATCTCTACAAAGAACTGCTAGATTTATTTAGGGATTTATGCAACAACTTCCATTTCAGAAGAAACACTCAAATCAAAACCAACTTTTTCATAGTTCTCCATGAGTTTGGATCCTAATGCTTCAACTTTACTATTGATTGTAGCTGATACAAAATTTATCCTCATACTATCACTCCAAAAACAATCATCACCTTTAGTCTTGAATTTTTCAGGTACCTTCTTCTTGATCATACTCAAACACTTATTCATTTCTCTTTCAAATCCCTAATCTAGAATTCTATCAGCTTCATCAAAAATGTAATAACATAGTCTACTGAAATTTAAGCATGAACTATTCTCTAAATGATATAAAAATCTACCTGGTGTGCATATTATCACAGTCAATCCTTTTCTGATTCTTGATTTTTCTTTTTTCGGGTTTTCACCTCCAGTGATTGTACCACAAACAACATAATAGAATAGTTTAAGTAACTTCTTCATTTCTATCTCAATTTGAAGACAGAGCTCTCTTGTTGGTGAGAATATGACACAATAAGTACCATTCTCACGAGTAATCTTCTCCTTGTTCAATGAAATGTATGATAGATATTCAAGAAGTGGGACAAGATAAGCTAGAGTCTTTCCACTTCCTGTCTCAGATTTCAAGACTACATTCTAATGCTTCAATATAACAGGGATTGCACTCTTCTGAATATTAGTTAATTTCTCAAAATTGTTTTCCTATAGGACTTGCTTAAGCTTATCATTTAGAGGTAGATCAGAGAATTTATCACCAGTAAATACTTCTGCTTCCTCTCTCACTAATACTTCCTCAACAAAGGGTACTTTAGCTGCTTATTATTCTGTTTTCTCTTCCTCTTTAATCTCCTAATCCTATTTCTTGTCTCTATTTTGATACTTCACTTTCTTTTCATTAGGCAATATTGGATTTAATTCTATATCGTAGTCATCATCACCGTCAAACTTCACTGTTTTATCAGCAAGCGCTTCTTTGTATTCCTTTTTAATTTACTTTGACTTATCAGAAATTCCCAAATGTCGCTTTATCTAATTTATTTATACTGGTTCTTGTTGCTATTGCTCCTCTACAATGGCTTCGCTCACCAACTCTGGTTATTTCTCAGCGACTAATAGTGACTAATGTTAAGGTCTTTGCTGAAATGGTTTATTTTTGTTAAATCTATCACCCTAAGTCTGATTATTAAAAGTGCGTGGTTGGCCGTCGCTAGTTTTATTATGCCTCTCAATTTTCTTGTTAATAATCTTTTACTTATTTTTCTTATACTTATCTTTGTTTTTATTGTTAGTTTTAGCTCCAGCTGGCTCTTTATTATTGCCTCCTTTGTTGAAGTCTATATTTAATAGCAAATTATCCATGATGATACTATGTTAAAATAATGTTTATAATTACTTGTATATAATACTATTATAATTATTTGGCAGGACTTGAATTCAATTTAAAATTAAAAATGGAAAGATTGGTAATATAAAATGAAGCTGCAAAGCATGTGGCAGCTTATTTAGAATATGTCAAGTAATCTTTTTTTGTATAATCTTATATCCTTGCTAGTATTGTTGGAAATGCAGATGGAGGTAAAATGATGAATGAATAGGAGTTTGAAGAGTTTAAGTAGAATGTTAGAGAGGCAAGAAAAAATAGATTATATGTAAACTGGAGAAACTCAGAGGGTTCAGATTGTCGTACCATTGGACCAAGTTCTTAGTGCTTTTGTGGTCACAGATACAAGGAGCACAACTTTGATGATGTAAAAAATAAAAAAATTCACTGCAGAGCACCTAAATGTGCATGCAAAATGTTTACTTATATACCAATATGTAAGAATTTCAAAAGTGTTGATGCATTTTAGTCGGTTCTCAAGATTTAAAATGCCTATGCAAACATTCATGCAAGGATCATCATCCAAACACAAGAAAATGTCTTAAACCTGGCTGTAAAAATTGTCATTCAGGATTTACAAGTAAGCATGGCTGCTCATGTCCAGATGTATTCGATAACCATGAGACAGTATTTGAAACTAGAGAAGAGAGAGAAATGAGTGGAAGACCTGTTGACCCTAAATGGATGCAAGAATAAAATGTAACTATTTCCATAGATAAATTGAATATTTTTTAGATGACTGCAGGAATGGGAGGCTTAACTTAAGGTTTCATGGATCTGGTGGAAGGATAGGATAAATAGGATTTCTAAAATCCAGCTGCAATAATGAGTAACTTACAAGGGGGAAATATGCTAATGGGATCTTAGATGAAGGCAATCGGCTCATCTGGATCTGGAGTCGGATCGAGAGGATAAAAAGCTATTGGAAATGGCAACAGTTTGCAAAATGTGGGACAATAGATTATGCAGTCTAACTCTTAAAGTATATTAAATACATAGAATGCTTTCGCATTATTCAGCACTCCTCATTAATTTGGATAGGTGGGTCAAATAAAAAAGCAACTAAAAAATCTAAAGATGCGATGAAATATATTGTTAATATTTTGTGTTAATTTTACAATAGTCTCAACTTACTCTGATTTATTTTTCCATATATGGGGTTTTGGGGTTTTGGGGTTTTGGGG